GGCCGTCGACAGCGACGTCTGCCCCAGGTGCGGCGAAGGGTCCGAAACACCTTTGCACCGACATTGGCTGTGTTCAAAAAATCGCGGGCACAAGGTTTATGATGACGACCATTTTCTCGCTCCGCGGGCCCAGTCGGGCCAAGAGGCGGAGCCGTGCTTTTGGTTCAGAGGCCTCATCCCGAGCTTGTGGACCCAGGTGCCAAGCGCGTCCGAAGGTGAGTCCTGGCAGTTTTACACCGGGGACAGCAGCACGAGCATGGACTCCGTGCTCGGCCCGGGCACTTTCGAGCAGCCTGTCTTTGTATTTGGGGACGCGAGCGGAGGGAAGGACTCGAGGGCCCCGCGGCTACGACGCTGCGGCGTAGGAGTTTCTATAGCAGATCACTTTGCAGGTACTGGCGCTGACTAGAATCGCGTGGACGAGGCTGTGCGCACCAGAGTGCACAAAGTTGAACAAGAGGCATCGTTGATTCGCAGAAGGCTCCTACGGTCCACCCTAGAGGCCATGGCTGCGCGACCCTCCCGGTCACCCGCTCCATCGGTCAGGCCTCCGCCCCATCCCGCCCCTGCCACCGTTGCCCTTTTTACCTCTTCTCATGTCATCAGTGAGTGTGGGAAGAGGTGCAGCAGGTATAGAGGTAGTGCGTCCCACGACACGAGGACGGAGTGGATGCGATCGGATTGTTTCAACTTAAAGACTGTTGATTCACATATTTCTCGTCTGCCGAGGGGGGTTAAGGTTCATCTGGGGGGCGGCTGGATTCACCCCACCCATTCGGCCCTCCACTCCCACCTCCTGCAAACGCGGATCTGCTCCAATTGTGGCTTTTTCGGAACCGAGCAGCTCAGGAAGAACCTGGCCTCGGAGTGTCCCAAGAAGCTCACAGCCACCACTCGGAGGTATCTGGATAATTCTGTCGCAGGGAAGCCGCATAAGTCCTAAGCGGCAGGAGCCAGGCATTCCTTGCTCCCCTCTTTTGTTTCTTTGATCGCTATGCGAAAGAGCCATTCCAATCCAACCCTTCTGCACCCGAAGTTTCTGACACAGAGGCGGCAGCGATTACATCAGAGCAGACGGATGCTGCATCGAAAACATCGGGCAAGGGTTGCGGCGCGCTCCGCGAAGTGTGCGCGGCCTGGTCCGCGTCAGCGATTTCCAAAGCTCTTCAGGACGACCGACGAGAAGTCTCAACGGCCGAAGAGGCACGGACACGTGAGTTCATCCAGCGCGAAGCCACGGCTTCAGCAAGCGACTGCTTGCAGGCGTGCAGCCGTCGAAGGCCCACGCTGCCCCGCGAGGTTGCCTCTGCCACGGCCTGGCACCGCGACGCTCGCCTGCGCTGTCGGCATCGGCTTCTGCGCCGACGGCGCGACAGCTGTTTGGGCTTCGCGCTGTCGGACCCAATCCTCGCGTAGAGGGTCTCCTCGACCTCATTACAGAAGGCCTGCCGCTCCCCAGTGCCTGGAAGCCGCAGGCCCACGCGGCGCCTCCCGAGTGCTTCGGTCACCTTGCTTTGGCCGCGGCGACTTGGGGCCAAAACGCGGTCGGGGCCACCAAGGGACTACGGGGCCGAGTTGGTCACGATGCCTCGGCCACGCGCAACGAGTGACCCTGGGCACGGTGCCTCGGCCACGCGCAACGAGTGACCCTGGGCCAGCGAGATCGGCGGTGCGCGGCTTTGGTGATTACGGGGCCGAATTAGGCACGGTGCCTCGGCCACGCGCAACGAGTGAGCCTGGGCAAGCGAGACCTCAGGTGCGCGGCTCTGCTAGGGGGCCGCAAGAAGGCCAAGTCCGAGCGCGCAGGCCGGTGGGGGGGTACCCGTGCGGGCCCACACCGCAGACCACTCCGGCGAAGGGCCTTTCGTGCGCGCAGCCCAGTATTGCTGGCCTCATCCGGCGACTCTTCGATGCTCCCGACCCTCGGGATCCTGCCCGCCATCCGCCTCCCCCCCTCCACCCCGCTCTAACACGGGGCCCAAACGCATACACCACCACCACCACCACCCGACCCGCAGGCTCCTGCCCGCCATCCGCCTCCCCCCCCCTCCACCACACTCTAACACGGGGCCCAAACGCATACCCACCACCACCACCACCACCACCACCACCACCACCACCACCACCACCACCACCACCACCACCACCACCACCACCACCACCACCACCACCACCACCACCACCACCACCACCACCACCACCACCACCACCACCACCACCACCACCACCACCACCACCACCACCACCACCACCCCTCGCCCCCTCCCTCGCCCCCTCCCTCTCCCAGGAAAGAGGGAAGGAATAGGAGGGTCGAGGAGTGAAGAGGAATCGACGTGGTGGTGGTGGTGGTGTATGTTCTTGGGGCCCGCATCTAAACCACTCCATCATCCTCGATACACGATGCACGCACACATCCGATGGTCACGCAGAGCGCCAGACTGGGAAGAAGAAGGAGCTCGGGAGAAGAAGGAAGGCCGAGAGCCACGGGGAGGAATGGGCCATCCTCCTCCTCCTGCTCCTCTTCAGCCCCTCTTCCTCCTCGTCCTCCTCCTCCTCCTCTTCCTCCTCCTCCTCCTCCTAAGCCCCTCGTCCTCTTTGTCCCCTCCTCCTTTCCACGCCCCTTCTCCCCCTGCTCCTTCTCCGCCTCGTCCTGCCTCGTCGTCGTCGTCCTTCTCATGGAATTGCTGCTCCGGATCCCAGAATCCGATTGAAGGGTCGGCGCTACCGCCCCACAAACAAACTGGTCTGTCACAAGACCGTGGGGCGGGGGCTGTATACAAAAAAATGCAGCCCCTGGGAATGGACACGATGTTTATATCACCCCCACAACGAAGCTGGCCTGGCAAAACGTACGCGCGCGGGGGCGGTGACCAGAAATCGGCCCCCGATGATTGAGATGATCTCGCCAGTAGTTTTGCTGTCAGCTCCCAGCTGGCCGCATCCTTTTCGCTATCCTCGTCGACGACAGGTCGCAATCTCGCGAACCCCCAAAAGGAGGGCGCGACACTGGTCTCACTGGTCTCACTGGGGCAACCTGCGAAGCGCAGAGGGCTCGCTAAGACTTTGCCGTGGCGCGCTCCTGGCCTCAATGAGCATCGTTTCGCCGATCCACATTCCCACTGCCATGGCCTTGGCCCCACTGGCCGACTCACCCCAGTGAGGCTGTTCCCTCCGGGTTTCACGGCACCTGTCCCAACCTGGGATTTTTTGAGCTCAACAGCTCGACCCCATCACACCAAATGCAGGACGTCTGGCGGCGGTGGGAGACACAAGCCTGCAAAAGAAAAGTTAGTCTGAGTCGTCAGATCCCGCCTCCTGAGCAGCCACAAGAGGGCCCTCATCCTCTTCGAGGGCGAGGGCACTGGGCTGAGATACAAGTAATCAGGTGGGGATGGGGATCGGGCAGTCGATGCTGAGGGAGGCACCCCTCGCTCCCCTGCTGCAGCCGGCGAGCTGGCGGTCGCGGCGTCGAGCACTGATACCTTCCCTTGGTGCGCAAGTCATCCAGAAGGGATCGACTGCCGCCTGCGCGGCGCACTATGGCGCACTGCGGCCACCCTGCCTAGGTTTAGGTCGGGCATGTCCCCATACAGGCGGAAGTTGGGCAACAAATAGCCAACACATCGTCCCCAGACAATGTTTAAAAACTATGTTTGGATACTCCTCCTGTAGAGGGACAGGCCCGACTTAAGCCTAGGTCGCGCTGGTGGACCTCCAAACACCCCCGGACGAGCCTCGTGAGCCTTCGGGATACCGAGCGCAGCTCCCCCAGGCAGGACCCCCGCACGCGCGCCCCACGCGCAGGCCCCGCCCGGCTACACGCGCGAGAGCGGCCCTCGGCAGGAGCGACCCTTTGTGCTCGAATGCTCGAATGCTAGCGGCCCTATGTCTATCCAAGGTGGCCGAATTGCGCGGCCCGCGGTGACCCTTGGTGCGCGCCTTCCCCGCCGTGGCGCTCGGTGCGACGGTGGCGGCCTGCGTGCTCGGGCTCGGCCCCGCGGCGCCCCCCCCCCCAGGAGAAGCCAGCCGCGCGACAGAGGTCCCTCCCGCGACAGGCCGCTTTGGCGCGCAGCCGGCCCGCCGGCGGCCCAGGGACGGGCCGCGTGGGCCCTCGGAGTCCCGAAAGCTGGTCGTGCGTGGCTCCCGTGGCTGGGAGGAGGAGGAGGAAGAGGAGGAGGAGGAGGAGGAGGAGGAGGAGGAGGAGGAGGAGGAAGAGCAGGAGGGGGAGGAGGAGGACGAGGAGGAGGAGGAGGAGGAGGAAGAGGAGGAGGAGGACGAGGAGGAGGAGGAGGAGGGGGAGGAGGATGGCCGTGTGGGCCCTCAGAAATTCTCCAGCCGCCAAGGAAAGGCAATCGGAAGCTTCCCCAGCCGCCCTGGGGCAGGCGGCCCCGACCGGCGGCACAGAACATGCTGTACTGCAACCTCGCCCCCTATAATCAAGTCTGGCCTGTCCCTCTACAGGAGGAAGATTCAAACATAGCCAAACAATAATGTGGGGACGATTTTTTAAATACAATTGTTGGGGATTTGGAGGATATTGTCTGCGTATTGCTTATTTTTCGCCCAAAATCCCCCTGTGGGGGGACACGCCCGACTGAACCCTATAACGGAGGGGAGGACGGGTTCGGGATGGGGGGGGCGGGGGGACATTGCCCTGGGGCCCCTGGGCCTGCCCCCCCACCACACCCCCAGCGTTGCACATGAGTAGGGGGGTGAGACGTCGGGCACGCACTAACCTGGGTCACCACCTACCTAGGTCGGCCAGGGCCTTTTCGCGAAGCCTGGCTGGCCGCTGGGTAGCTCCCACACCCGGGACCGCGGAGTGCGGAAGGGGGATTCGTCCCGACGTGGCTCCTGAACCCGGATCAGCCAGATAGGAGTTGCTGACCCCCGTCAGCGCAGACCCCTGTTACGTGCACTGCGATCGTTCCCCTTTATTTCCGTTGGCCAGAACGAGTACTGGGCCAACTCAGCCCCCGGCCGAGGGAACGGGCGCGCGCCCGCAAACGCGATCATCGCGTACAGCAGGAAGCGCTCCACAGGCCTGGCGGCGCAGCGGCACGCCCGCACTCGGCCCTCGCTCCCGCTGCTCTTGTTGGGTCTAGCTCGTTCTCCGTATCCCTCTGCCTCCCTCCCCCTCCCCCTCCCCCTCCCCCCCCCTCCCCCTTCCCTCCCTTCCCTCCCCCTCCCCCTCCCCCTCCCCCCCCCCCTCCCCTTCGAGGGGCGGCGGCGCGGCAGCCCGGAGGGAAGGAGGAGGCCGGCCGGCGAGCCCCCCAAGAGCCGGCCGTGGAGGAAAGGGGGGAGAAAGGAGGGACGGGCAGGGACCGCCTGCCACGGAGGAGATAGAGATTGGAAGGGGCTTTCGGGAGAGGAAGCGCCAAACGGCCGGCCGCGGAAGAGGCAGGAGTGGGCTGGGTCCTTCCTGGTGCACGACCGCTCCACGCCCCTCAGTAAACCCTTCCTTGGGAAGGGCGCGGGGGCGGCATCCCCCCGCAGGTGGGAAGGCCGACGACAGCCGCAGACCTAGTCGAGCAGCGCAGAAACGCTGCTTGACTCCCACCCAAAAGGGGGGTGGATTGCAGCAAGCCGGAAACAAAGGAGAGGGGGGGATGATGACGCCCCCCCCCGCAGACAACCAGGGGAGGCGCGAAAAATCACGGGGAGCCACGCCCCGGCCCCAAACCAAGCCAGCGGCAGCGCGGGGCCGGCAAGCGCCCCGACCTGGAAAATCCCAAGCGCCTGCGCCCATGGAGACAAACCCACGACCCGACCCGCCCACCCAAGCAGAACCGCCGCCACCCACGAAGCCCCCATCACGAATGCAAGCCTCCTTCGAAGGGGCGCATTCGAGGGGCGGCGGCGCGGCAGCCCGGAGGGAAGGAGGAGGCCGGCCGGCGAGCCCCCCAAGAGCTGGCCGTGGAGAAAGGGGAGAGAAAGGAGGGAACGGCAGGGACCGCCTGCCGCGGAGGAGATAGAGATTGGAAGGGGCTGTCGGGAGAGGAAGCGCCAAACGGCCGGCCGTGGAGGAGGCAGGAGTGGGGTCCTTCCTGGTGCACGACCGCCCCACGCTCCTCAGCAAACCCTTCATTGGGAAGGGCGCGGGGGCGGCATCCTGCCGCAGGTGGGAAGGCCGACGATAGCTGCAGGCCTAGTCGAGCAGCACAGAAACGCTGCTTGACTCCCCTCAGAAGCGGTGCGGTTGGTTTAGAGGTAGCGGAGGTGCGGCCGGAACGGCTGCGCCTGCCCCATCGAGGCTTTCCCCACCTGCAAGATAATTAAAGAGCAACGACACGCTCCGCAGGCACCAAGGAAGGACGCGCAGAGGCGAAACAGCGCGCAACCCTGGCCTGCATTATTTTGCAGCGATCATCGTCCGAAAAACGCGCGTAGAAGGCGCGCGCCGTGGAAGGCGTGCCCCAGCCGCCCTGCGCTCGGATGACCTCCTCAGGAACGCCGCCCTGAGTCTTCCACCAGTGCGCCCCGCCCTTCCTGAGCGAGTGGGAACCCGCAGTGCTGTCGCGACGCGCAGCGCCGAGGGCCCCGCGAAGCGTATCATCGCCAATCGCCCTGGCCGGAAAGGCGTTAGTGACGCAAAAGAAGCGCGTCGCTGGATTCTTGTCCCAGATAGACTCTCCGAGCGCCTGCCAAGCGCGAAGCAGGCTCGCAGGGCAGCCGACGCCAAGCCGCGGAATTGCTGGTATAAAGCAGAGCATGCCTCGACCAAAAGGGTCCTTCTTTTGTTTGCGGACGTGAAGCGCCGCGCCGTCTGCTTTGAAACGGACGTCGTTTCACAGCAGCGCTCGCATCTCTGAAGAGCGGCGGATTCCAAAGAAACATAGCGCTGCTGACGCTGCGTTGCGCGCGCCTGCTGGCGAGCCCCAGTTGTGCGAGGCCGCTGCAAAATGAAACAATTGTGCAATGCTCAGGGGGCGCTTGGCCGCCGAAAGCGTGTGATCACAACGCTTTTTCAATCCGCGCCAGAAAAGCAATGTGCGCTCAGTCCACGCTTTCTCCCAGTCTCCCAAAATATTTCTCTGGACGTGCCATCCTCTCACCGCTGCTTTGGCTGCGGCGACAGAATTCCACGGCGGCCCTTCGAACTGGGAAAATAAAACCATGAATTTCAGATCCGCATTGCACGGCAGCAGGGGCGCCCCCGATGCGGACTCCAGCTCGCTGACGGGCCCGCGCAGCACGTAGTCATACCGCGCCGTAGTGGAGTCCCCCCACGCTGCTTGGATGAATCTCTGCATGGCAGCCTGAGCCTTCTGGCTGCTGGATACCCCTGTTGGCGACGTGCCTTCCTCCAGCGCCGAGAGGTCCACAGGCTGCCCAAACAAACGTTTTTACCTAACAGCGAAGACTGATAGGTTTCTAGTGGTCTCAAAAGAGCTCACAAATCACTCCACAGGGGGGTCCGGGCAGGTGTTGGGGAGTTGCCGGGCGGCAGGGTGCCGGGCTCGTTTTTCACCAACAGTCACACACTTCGTGCTCTTCGACTTCCCAGAACTCCATTCCCAGGCCACATTCTGAATACCCGGATGCAACAGTCACACACTTCGTGCTCTTCGACATCCCAGAACGCCATTCCCGGGCCACATTTAGAATAACCAGATGCAACAGTCACACACTTCGTGCTCTTCGACATCCCAGAACGCCATTCCGGGGCCACATTCTGGAGGGCCGGATGCAACAGTCACACACTTCGTGCTCTTCGAGTTCCCAGAATTCCATTCCCGGGCCACATTTTGGATGCCCGGAGCCAACTGTAGGCCACTTCCTGGTCTTCGAGTTCCCAGAACTACATTCCCGGGCCACATTTTGAATAGCCAGACGCTTCGTAGTCCTTCCGCCACAGCCGTGTTTGGTTCAGGAATTGCTAGTGACACTGCAGTCCACTGCATTCAATCGTGCCACTGCATTCACTCACTGCAGTCCACTCAGTTTCGATTGCAATGGCGTTCCCCTGGCCGTACCCCCATACCCAACGTTCATCCGCAGCCTCTGCTCCGCGAGGCTCGTCCGAAGTGTCGCCGCCTCGCGGTGCTTCTCAGCCTGCGCCGCCTCGCGGTGCTTCTCAGCCTGCGGAGGAAGGTGGACAGACGCCTGGCTCTGGCGCTGTGCAGCCTGCGTCTTTCACGGTCGCCTCGTTCAATTTCGGGTTCGAGCAGGGCATGATGACTGGTAAGCAGGCGGCCACTCACTGCGCTAACTTCGGAAGGGTGTGCGCCACGATAGTGGAGACCGCTGATGCTGATATTGTCTGTGGCTGCGAGGTCGGTGCGTTCCGTGAAGGCTTTCGCCGAGCAGGGATCAACGTGACAGAGATCCTCAGTAAGCCTTTCGGTGATGGCATTCGCTTCTCGGAGGTCGACAACTACTTGACTCTCTGGGGGTTCCGCGGTGCTTCTCAGCCTGCGGAACTGACTCTGTGCGAAGACAGCAAAGTTTACAGGCCTCCTAGCGGCCGAGAGATTGATGCTGTTATTTCACATTTTGAGGTGAACAAACCAGGCCATGACAAGTTCCACGTGGTGATCGCCAACATGCACATCGTGTGCGGCAAGAAACCGCCGACCATCCAGACTCGAAAGCGGACAGTTCGCAATCTCCGCTTGCACCTGGACTGCCTGGGAAAGATTCTTGAGAATCTGAGCCAGGCAGTCGTTCTGCTTGTAGTCGGCGACGACAACCTCACTTTCCAGGAGGCGCGGGAGGCTTACCAGCGCCAGCAGAACGACGAGAAGCTCTGGGAGGTCCATGCCACTCCGGCCGACCTCAAAGGCGACCACGTCGCGGTCTGCGGAGCAGTCGCCCGTTTCTGCTCCATTGCCGTTGGCGCGTCTTTTACGGATCGTGGCATGCGCAACGACGCACACGATGCGGTGGCGGTTGTGCTCACTCTCCCTGGTGCTATTCAGCCTGGGGAGAGCAAGAGGCGGAAGATTGTCGTCGAAAACGTCTCCGACGCCGACGTCAGCGTACAGGCGGACGCCGAGTCTTCTGTGCATTGGGATCGGTCGCCGAGTTCTACTCCTCCGCTTTCACCGACTTCACCGGGTGATCCCGACTACGTCGAGGATGTCGTTCAGAATCGCGCGAACGACTTGCACAGGGAGCTGAGGCAGCTTTGGGACGACAGGTACGACGAGGAGTACGATCCGAAAGTCCTCCATCATCTCAGTCTCTTGCTTTTCAAAAAGAGGAAGTCCACGGAGCCAGCGGACACTGATCCAGCTGGCGCTCCTCAGCCTGGCTCGGAATATGACACGGCCTTTGCGTCTCAGGAGGAGACTGGCCGAGCCATTCTCTCTGTCCTTAAGCTTCGACATGACTTTCTGCGGAGCAAGAACATCGACGACATGCGCTACGTTCTCACGGAGCCTGAGCGCCAGGAATTGGTCAGAGTAGCTCGCGACCAGTACGAGCAGTCGCGGCAGCAGCGTGCGCTTCAGGAACGGGATGTCGAAAAGGGAAAAGCGAGAGGCAAGTCTGCGCCACAAGGGGGCCATGCGGTTCCGCAGGGTCCTAACAAAGGGCCAGGCGGTAAGAAAGGTTCTCACGGTGCTTCTCAGCCTGCGGGAAAAGGTGGCCAGGCCAAGGGTGCAGGTCTGGGTAGCGTCGCCAAGTTTGTGAAAGACCAGAAGCGTAAGCGGTGGCATCGCCATTTGCAACGTGTGGCCGGTACCAAACAGATCTGGGAGGTGCTGGCCTTCTCAGGGCGCTTCGACGTTGATTGGCTAACGCAAGCGTTGCAAGCTGATCACAGTGAGGGCCGTGATGCAGCAGTTCCCGAGGAAGCTCTGCGGCAACAGCGGCGCCGGCTGCACCACCAGAAGGCCGAGGCCATCGCGCGCTACAACGAGGGGGAGCGGCTTTCCCGCCATCTGTCTGCCCAGGCTGGCCAGCCAAAGCCGAACTTCACGCGCAGGCAGCTGGACGTGTTGCAGATGTTTGAGAGCGGAGCGCTGCTTCAAATCCGCAACCAAGCGATTCTGGCGTTGGGGCACGGCCGTCTGTTCAGGGCCGATGGCGACTACCTGG